TAACTAATGGAGTTTGGATTGATGGTTTTTATTGGAAAATTTTTCAAAAAAAAAAAAGAATATGAAAAAATTTCATCATTGTGCTTCAAATGTGGTAAGATAGGTCATAAGATTTAAATGCGTTTGGATACTAAAAAAGACGACCAAAACAAATTGCATAAGGAGGTATTGGATGATGGGAATAAAGTTTTGGGAAAAGAAGGAAAGGCTAATGCTTATTCTAAAGAGTACGACCCTTGGATGCATGTGAAGGTTAAGAATAAAGGTTGAACAAGTTCAAAAATTAGATTCACATTCCTGCATTAGTTGGAAACTGAAATCATGATCATATTGAGAAGGCTAATAAATTTGATGTGTTAACTCATAATTCTGATATTAGAGCTCAAAAGGAAGTAAATTTGTCTGATATTCCTGTTTTGGGTGAGCAGGAATGTTCAAATCCGGTAGATGAAATCATTGAGGAGGATGTTATAGACATTATGGCTCATAAGGAGCGAATTTCAAAAATTGCGATCGCTGATCCAGCTGAATTTATAGATCATAATTCTGAAAGAAAAAATGTTTTGGTTGATGAGATTAATGAAGTTGATCAGTAGGTTGTGTTTTTTGAAATTGGAAGTATTCAAGCTATCAAAGAAGACAAGGGAGAAGATGCTATTCTTGGAGAGGTAGTTGAGGAATGTGCAGAAAAATTGCAATCTATTATGGCCAATTCCGTGCATAATATTGATAAGAATAAGGATTGATTATTTGAAGATGGTAAATTTTAGTTACCATCAAAATCTATTCAGCATAAAAAGAGATTAAATAAAGATTTTGGGCCAATCAAAGGCAACCTTAGAGGAAGAAAAATGAGTTTACTTGTTGTAAGTGATGGATTCACTTCGCCAGCTATCACTTAATCTATTTTGAATGGATGAGGAAGGTTTGTATCAAAGGAAAATGTGTGAAGTAATAAAGGAAAATGGATATCTTTGGATTGATGTGTTGAGTCAGTCCATTGGTATTATAGTCTTTAAAAGAAATTTTTTTCTTTTTAAGACTATGGAGCTAGACGATGGTTGTATTGAAGGTCACAACATGGTTTGGAAGAAGGAATTGGAAGTGAAGAAATGGTGGTCTTCAAAGCATAAAGATCATTGTTTTTATTCTATGTTTTATTTTGTTTTTTTTTTCGAGTTAAAACCCACAGAAGGGCCTACGTGTTAATATAAAAATCAGGTTACAGAGTCCTTAAAGGAAACCATCGGCTCACTACTACTCAAATGAGCTACAAAACAAAGGTAAAGAAAACCTACGAGCCAATTGTCCCCACTACCAAAAAACACAATAAACCCTAGTAACATTCTACTGATGCTAAAGACTAGTATCCAAAAAAGAAAGATCAGAAAATAACCATAAATCTCAGTCTTTCTGCCAAAAAATTAAAGTCCTTCCTAACTAGCTTCCTCTACAAAAAGAGAAAACTACAAAAAAGAAGGCTACACAGAAAAAGAGTATTAGAAAAACATATTTTAGAAAAGGAATAAGTAAGTAAACAATAGACAAAATAGACCCAAGTGAAGCCAGTCTCAGAAATTAGATCATAAGAGCTCAGAGTACAATCAATAAACATAGCCTTATTAGGATTGTCCACAAGCCACTCAATCCTACCAAAAGCAGTCCAGCAGCACCTACTCAGAGTCTCATTGACAAAGAACATGTTAGAGATAAAGAAATACTTGAAATTCAAGATAGTCCCAAACAGAGCATTATAAAGTGGAAAGAAGACAACCACACAAGAACCAGCAAAATAGAACTAGCACAACCAACTACTCCCCACAGACCAGTGACAGAATTCCAGCATATACAAACCATCCTGGCAAAGATACCCAGGAATCCATAGAAAATGGTCCAAAAATTGCAAACCAGAGAGCCTAAGAGCCGCACAGAACCAACAAAATAGCAGCCAGAAAAGAAAGACTGCAGCCCGATAAAATCTCCAAAACACCACTAGGTAGGAGAGCAACAATGGGACAAACCCTCAGCATCCACACTAAGAAAATCATTGCTCCCATCTAAATTCTCAAGAACAATAACAACACAGAGGCCACCATACAAAAGTAAATCACCAAAAAAGAAACCCATAACCATACATGTTAAAATCCAACAACCAACGTAGCAGCCCCAGCAAATGAATCCAGTAAAACAGCCCAATATCACCGAAAAAATAGCAACAAACCAACTCCCAGAAAAGAGGAAATCTAGAGGACATAACAACACAAGGAGAACCATAAAGTTAAGTGTTAACATAGGGGATACCACACGCATCAAGATAGAGCAAACCATTAAGATGAGAAGGTATAGAAGATTTAATAAAATCTGTAAAACAATAAAGATTACACCCATGATTAGCAAGCCCAGAAGCACAGGAGTTACTAGCCTTACCAATATGAGAGAAAAAAGTATTCATAAAAACCAACAACTTCTTAATTTCCCTAACAATATAAAAAATATTCAGGCTATAGCACACTTCCTCCATAACCTAAAAAAGAGTGATGTTAAAACCCGAATTCACCTCAACGACCAAATTAATTGAATTCAGAGGGATGCAGACTTGGATACCATAAAGAATGGCCATATTAAGAGCATAATCAATATTACCATTATGAACTAGGCCCGTAAAAGCCACAAACAAATGGCCATTAGAATCCCTAATCAAACCACCACAACCAGCACCATACTCTGAATGAAAACCATCAACATTAAGTTTAAATATGTTAGGAAGAGGCTTAATCCAGTAAATCATATTGATAGCAGCAGGAGCCTTCTTCCAACCCATCCCTAAAGACGAGGTAATATGAAAGCAATTCTTAAAACTTTTAATAGTTAGAAAATTGACAGCCACAAGAGAAAATATGTTGTCTTTAACCCTTTGGATAATATTGAGGTGGTTCATCCTAACTCCATTGAACATGGAGTTATTTCTCTCCAGCCAAATAAACCAAAGAATAAGGGAAGGGATAATAATGCAAATGTGATCTTTAGTATCAACAAACCAAAACTTAAATAAAGTGTTAAGGGGGAGATGAGCATTAAAACTATTTAATTTAAATAAATCATCAAAGTAGACCCAAGTTCTAACAACAACAGGACCAGAGACAAACACATGATGCATATTTTTAGTATGAAAACAACATTAGCATTTCGAGGCAAGATTGAAACCTTTTTTAATGAGATTGTCCTCTGTAGGAATAAATTTATGAAGAACTCTCTAGAAAAACACAGAAATCGTAGAGGGGATGCTCTTATGCCAGATGTTAGCAAAATTCTTATCCAAGTTACCCTTAATTCTAAAAGATTGCCAAGCATTCTTAAGATGAAATTCCCCACCTTTAGAAAAAATCACATAGAATAATATCATTAGAATTGAAATTAATAGGCAGGTTAAGAATTCTCAAAATAATGCAATCAGGGATAAAATTAAAAAGATTATCATAATCCCAACAATTATCCTTAAAGAAAAAATTAACTTTAACAGAAGCAGAAGAAGTAGAGTGCAATATAGAGTCAATATAATCCTTACCAAGCCATTTATCTTGCCAGAAAAAGATGTTGCCTTTACCAAGCTCTCATGAAATAAAGGGGTCCACCTCCCATTTAATCTTAAAAAGCCTTTTCAAAACTTTAGAGTCACTAGGTTTGGACAAAATATTGGTAGGGTGATTGCCCACACAATATTTAGAAATCATAAATTTAGCCTAGAGATTCTTTTTAGAACGCAACTTAAACCAAACTTTAAAAGAAAAAGTTTTGGTAATGTCAGAAAAGGACTTGCAACCAAGACCACCTTCAGCCAACACACCACAACATTTCTCCCAAGAAGCCCAAGTAATTTTAGAAGAAGAGAGAGTACCCTTCCAAAAAAACTTATTAATAATCTTGTCAATCCTGCTACAAATAGTTTGAGTAGAAAAAATAGTCTGAAACATATAGACAGGTAAGGCGCAGAGAACACTTTAATTAAGGTCACCCAACCACCAAAACTATGAAAGTTAGAATCCCATGATAAAAGCTTATTATGAATAGAAGCAACAAGATCATCAAATAAGAAAGTTTGTCTTCTACCTTTAAACAAAGGAACACCAAGATACTTGATAGGAAAGTTAGAATGAGTAAAGCCAGTAACATCTTTAATAGCAAGAATACGATTATTGGGAATCCTTTTAGAAGTAATAAAATAACATTTGTTTTTACTCAAAGAGAGACCACTAACTAACTAAAAAATATTGAAAAAATCCATGATTTTCAAAATTCTATTAATAGTAACATTAGTAAAAACAATGAAGTCATCAGTAAAACACAAATGGGATAAATGAAAGCCTCCCACACTTTTAAAATAAAGGCTAGGATTAAGTTCAAATAAATTGAAGAGACACCTAGACAAAAATTCAGCCGCAATGATAAAAAGAGTAAGGGAAATAGGATCACCCTGCCTTAAGCCATTGGAGAAGTTGAAAAAACCGTGGTTAGAACCATTCAAAATAATAGAAAAATAAACATTTTCAACACAATTTTTAATAAGATTAATAAACACAGTGTTAAAATCACAAAGATCCAACATAAAGTAAATGAACTTCCAACTAATGTTGCCATAAGCCTTGACAATATCAAGCTTCAAAATAATATTACCCCCTCTAACCCTAACATCCAAATCTTGACTTAATTACTGAGCCAAAAGAATATTATCTGTAATAGCTATACCTTCCACCTAGCCCATTTGATAAGGAGAGATAATTTTAGGAAAAATTGAAGATAAATGATTTGAAATAATTTTAGAAATCAATTTATTGAAAAAAGTACAAAGACTGATAGGCTGGAAATCATTCCACATTTGAATAGAATTACTTTTAGGAATAAGCACAAGCGAAGTGAAAGTAAAAAATTTAGGAATAGGATTACCAGCAAAAAAATCTAAAGAAGCCAAAAAAAAAATCATCATAAATAATATGCCAACTTTTTTAAAAGAAAAGAGTTGTGTAACCATCAGGACCCGCCACAGAATCACTATTCATTCCAAAAATAGTATCTTTAACTTCCTCCAAAGAAGGAGGAGAAGAGAGGAAAACATTATCCTCATTAGATAGAAGGTTGGGAATAAAAGAGTGATACATGGCCTGAATAGGAGTAAAAGCTTTATTAAAGTGCTTTTTAAAATGACGAACAACTAAATTAGCAATCTCAGCATTATCATTAGAAAAAGAGCCATCCTCTCTTTGGATGTTGGTGATACTATTCTTCATCCTTTTTCTCTTAGTTAAAGATTGAAAGTACTTAGTATTACTATCACCCTCATCCAAGTGCTTAGCACCAGCTTTCTGTTTCCAAAAAACCTCTTCTTGAACTTGAAAGTTAAAAAGATCAAGTTTAGATTGATTAAGCATTGAAAAGTTAACATCAGAAGGATCATTTTGACATAAGTTTTCATTAAAAGGCACACATTGTTCAGCTTGAAGTACGTTAGAGAAAATATTTCTAAAAACATTGTGATTCCACCAATTGAGAACTTGTTTCAACCTCTTAAGCTTGAACCAAAGCCTTTTCATACCAACAATAGAGTTGTTAGGCTGAAGGGGAGCTTGCCAATTATACTTGACAACCTCAAAAAAGGTGTTATTAAGTAACCACATATTTTGAAACCTGAATTGGGAAGGAACAGTAATTTGTCTACTGTTAATGTTGATAAGCAAAGGAGAATGATCTGACAAGGTTCTACTAAGATGCTGAACATTAGTAAGATTAAAAGCATTAATCCAAGAATGATTAAAAATCACACGATCAAGCCTTTGTCATAAGTGACCCCTGTTCCAAGTAAAATTTTTACCAACAAACCCAATATCAATCAAGTTACAACACGAGATCAAGTTATTAAAATCAGACATAGAGCGATATTAAGGAGGCAACCCTCCAATCCTTTCAGAAGGAGTAGTGGTAGCATTAAAGTCACCTCCCACCATCCAAGGAAATTGACAAATACTATTAAAATTTATAAGCTAACCCCATAACAATTTCTTAATTTAAATGGAAGAAGCAACATACACAAAGGAGGCACAACACTAAAAATTGAAAGCCTCAATTTTATAATGTATAACTTGAATAAAATCTCCAATAACATCAATTTTAATAGGATTTTCCAGAAGACTCAAATTTTATTAGACATGTTTGAAATAGCATGGTTAAATCCAAGAAATCCAGAAGTACTAGTCAATCTAGAAGTAGGGATAAGAGGTTCAAGCAAAACAAGAATAGAAATATGCTGAACATGACATAAGTTTTTAGCACAAATCCTAGAAGAAGGACAACCAATGCCCCTAACATTCCAAATAATAGTACTAAATATAAGAAAATATTAATGAGAAGTATTTGAATGAGTATTTCTAGCAGTGTTTCTAATAGGTTGTAAAGAAATGTGCTTGGGCTTCCGCCCTCTTTTACTCTTAAATTCTATAAAACTAGTGTCATTATCATCTTTGGCAAAGCATTTATCCATAGTAAGCACATCATCAGTATCAGTAAGAGTTTCACTATTATAATTTGAGGCTGAAGGAGTCTTACCATCGTTGGCTCGTTTGCTATATAAATCAGGAGAATCATCCTCCAAAAACCTACCATCATCATCCCATTTTTCAAAGGCCTGTTGCTCCAAAACTTCAGTGCTAGATGAAGGCAACAATTGATGTCCCATGGCAACAAACTCTTCATCCTCTAAAGCATTATCATATTATCACCATCAGTGCTAACCAACTGAATAGCATCATTAGAAATCGTGTCAGCAACCTGAATATTTATAGGGTTAGTAATCATAAGTTCACTAGGTTCAGTTATAGTATGATTGATAATGTAGGAAGGAGAAATATCAACATTCTACATAATATTATCCATATTATTCTCACAATTTGTAGAAGCAACCTGAAGTAAATCATCAGAAAAATTATTTAAAGGAGCAACTTCCTGTTCTTGAGGGACAAAAGAAATAACTCCATCAAGATTATCCTCCCCGACATTAACCAAAGGGCAATTCCCCAAAGGTTTTTCAGTATGAAGAGTCTCCAAGAGCTATTTCAAAGGGCCATCTAGATGATCCTTCTTATCAGGACATAAATGAGGATTTTTCATAAAGCATTCATTCATAGCATGACCATGCATCTTACAAAAAGAACAAAAGATAGGTAAAAATTCAAATTCCACTTTTTGAAAATAACCTTTAACCTCGGAACCAATCTAGATTTCATTTGGGTGCTTCTTAGAAACATCCAGCTTAACCAAAACCCTAGCTACTTATGGCCTAGAAATTGAAGCGATCGCTTGATCGGTCTGTAAGGGATGACCGAAAATGGAAGCTGAACCAAATAAAATTTGATAATTAAAAAAATGCAAACGCAAATTAGGAAATGAAATCTAAACTGGAGCAATTGGAGATTCTTCCCTAACATCAAAATTCGGAGTCCATTTCAATAACCGCATTTGACAAACTTGGATATAGTAGGAATGACGAGCAAAGATTTGGCTATAGTCAAGGTCATTGGACAATTGGATAGCAATATGCCCTTTGATCAAATAACCCCTTATGAAAAGAGCCGGTAAGTGGTTAACAAAAAACTTGTGAATAACATCAATATTTGGCCTCCTCAAAACAAATTTACCAACCAAAGTTAAAGCATAAGGAGTAGCTAAAAGATCAACAACCGAGTCCTCAAAAGGAAGGGCTGGACAACCCTTAAAAGACGAATGAGTAAACTTCAGTTTCGGACTAGACTAATAACCAAACCAGCAGGAGACTCCTTGAATAATTGTGTTTTCCATCAAAAGATGAACAAATCGGGCAAGATGACGACGGGGTCGTCATCTCCCCACACAAAAACACAACAAGGAGAAAATAAATCAAAACATGTAAGAGATATAGAGGAGAAGAGCAAAAAATCCAAACCGATCCTGCCAAAGAAATCCAGCCAGGAGAGCCAAATTCGAATACATGGGAAGAAGCCCTAAATCACCCAGGAATCGCCTCAAAGCAACGAGACGTTAGAGCGGCTGTTGGGTTTTTAAAAAGGTTTTGCATAAATGATATGTTTTATTTTGTTATTTGTTATTATGATTGTTATATTTTTAGGTTTATATTAAGCATTAGAGTATATTTGAAGGATGGAGATATAATTTGGAATTTTAAGAATCACTCTATTCCTTATTTTTTACTTAATCGGAAATTATGGGATACTAATCAACCCTTTGGGTTGTTTAATTATTGGTATCCCCTCCACCCCAATTGGCTTAAAATGAGTAGAGGATCTCATGTTCCTTATGAAATTTCATATCTTTCAAATATTTCTCTTTTTCTTAATTATCCATTAATAAGCCTTTCTTTTATTTATTTTTGGAAGGATTGGCATTAGGTTATTTCTTTTCTAGTTTTTAATAGCTTTATTTTCTATTTAATGCAATTTGCATCTTTTCCAAAAAAAAAAATGGCACCTCACACCTGGAAGTATCCTATTAGAACCACTTTAAGTCATACACTAGCTCAATCTCTCACAAAAATGAATTTTTTTCCTATTAATAGATATATATTATGACCCAACCTTTAAGCTTTCGCAGCACATACTCATCCCAACTCCCATCCCTATGGAATTTCCTCATATGAACTCCTCCATTCTTAATTGATCCAAACCCCCATCTCCTTAATAAACTCCATCCCTATAATAGCTCCACCACTCGACCTACAACTCCCTCTCCATCACCTTCTCCTGTTACCCTAGCTCCTATGAACTCCTCCTCATACCGCCAAGATAAACCCATTAGAAACTAGTCATAGCAGCCATAACAACTCTCTACCCAACAACAAACTATCTCCAACACCTTATATGAACTAAAACCACCTTCAACCTATGGCAACTTAGAATTCAAGTTTGAGTTTGATATAATGTGATTTTTTGGTGATAATAAAATATTATTATTATGATTACTATTTCTCTTAACATATATTGGGTATATTTTCTTTATATTATTTGTATGTACTAAAATTTTATAGAAGTCATACGCTAGACTACTGAAGACATCAAGATAGAGTAGATTAGGGTTTCATGTAATGATGTCTATAAGATTTCTATTTTTCTTGATTCTGAGAGTGTGATTGTAATTAAGTAACTATGCACACACACTGGGAGTGAGTCAAAAATTATGATTTTAAAACTAATCGTACTATATAATTTTAAATCATACTAGATGATTTTTCATGGTTTTTCCTTCATAAAAAAGGTAACGAAATCATGGTTGGAATTTTTTTGTACTGTTCATACTGTATGATGCCTATTCATAGAGATGCTCATAGAGCATGAAATAGGCGCATATCAGTTCATCCCAAATGAACTCATTTAATTTTATATTGTTCATATTATATCATGTCTGTTCATATTATATAATGTATGTTCATATAGACAACTCATATAGTATGAATTTGGGTTGCACATATTCATACCAAATGAAGTATGATTTGTGTTAACTATTTGTATTATATGATATAAGTTCATACAGATGACTGAAAGAGTATGAAATGAGATTTATATAAGATTGTACCAGATGAATAAGTTCAAGTTTAAACTATTTATACATTACGATGTTATTTCATACAAATGACTGATAAAGTAAGAAATCAGGTTCATACATAAAGGTACATGGATTTTTGAATTGTTCGTGTAGACGATCCTCAATCATACTGTAAGATTTGAGTACATTCCTATTGTAATTTTCAATTTTTTGAACGATTTTTCTTGTCTTTCATATAAAAGGGTCAAAAAATCTGACACTCACTAATCTTTGTTATGAATTTCTCTTAATTGTGGATAAGGACAATGTTTGGGAGTGTGAAGAGTGAGAGATCTTATAAATGGAAATTGTGAGGGGATTCACAATGTTGCCCAAAGGTAAGGGTCTCTTATTTGTTCTTCAAAATTTCTACTTACCTTCTTGAATGCTCTTGAGAGAAGATTTTCAAAGAAGATCTCATACTCTACCATCACTAGGAGAGTAAGAAAGAATGTTGGTACTCTGCCAGCACCAGAAGGGTGAGAAAGGATGTTGGTACTCTATTGTCACCAAGAGGGTGAGAAAGGTCGTTGGTACTCTGGCGCATCAAGTTGGGGGAAGAGAGTTCATTAGGGCTTCTCCTTCTTGCAAGGAGTCTCCAAGGAGTGGATGTAGGTCTAGTAGGACCAAATCACTATAAAATTTAATGTTCTTATGTTCTTTTTTTTATTTAATGCATTTTTATTTTCTGTATTTTGTTATTATTGTAGTTGAAAAATTATTTTTAAAAATATTTTTCTATAAATAATATCATAATTAAGGATCATTATGTATAATTTTTTTAATATAATTTTCTAAAATCTAAGAGAGTTTTTAATTACCAATTCAACCCCCATCTTGGTTAGCCTTGGGACAGTTCTATTAGTTCTAACAACCTACTCAAACTTTCAAGTGGTATCAGAAATCTTCCAAAAATTAAGGTTTAGATAACTTTTTGAAAAAATGATCATGGCTACTTTTGGAAATTGAAACACTCCTGAAGAAAATTCGATCACTAGACCACCGCTATTTGATAATATTCTTTTTTACTTTTGGAAAACTCACATGTCTACTTTTATGCAATCACTTGATTATCACATGTGGATTTTAGTAAAGGAAGGTTACACTAGACCCACTAGACTAGTTTATGGTATTAATTTTTGAAACACCATTTATTGATTGGATATTAGAGGAAAAGATTTAGCCCAATTAAACACAAAAAATTTAAATAGTTTTTTTTATGCCTTAAATTCTGAGGACTACATGCATGTTTCAACTTGTAAAATTGGAAAAGAAATCTAGGGTAGACTTTGCATAAAAGAAACTAATGAGGTTAAATAATCCAGATTAAACATTCTATTACATGACTATAAACTTTTTTGCATGAAATCGAATGAGTCAATATCTTGCATATATACATGTTTTACTTAAATAGTTACCTCATTGCTTGCTTTAGGTAGGGAACTAATTAATTAAAAAAAGTTAATAAAATCCTATGTTGTTTACCTACTGCTTATGATGAAAAGATAACTATTATAACTGAGTCAAAAGATGTAAATGTCTATTCTATTGATAATCTACTTGGATCTAATATTTCCTATAAGCAAGGAGTGACTCAAAGACAGATTGATGTAGGTGACATACAAAAAGAGAGGAATATAGTTTTGAAAGTGGATGATTTAGACTATTATCATTCACTTCCTAAGGATGAAGAAGATATTGCACTAATAATGAGAAAATTCAAAAGTTTCCTAAGAAGAAAGCAACAGAGATGTCAACAGTGGAACAAAATTAAATTCAATAGGAATATAAATGTTTTAAATGTTGTCATATATTATGAATGCAGTAAGCCTAGACATATTAAGACTGACTGCCAGAATCATAAAACTAATCTTGGCAAGGAGAAAGTTGAGGAGAAAGCCAATCTTAGGGAGAGAAAGAAAAGACTGTAAAGAGATTTTTAAGTTGACTAAGCTTCAGCTTCCTTAAAAATAGAAGTAAAAGAGGAAGTCACAAACTTGTGCTTATGGATGACAAACTTGATCACTTGGATCAAGAGAAAAACACTCTCATACAAGACCTCGTGAGAGCATCTGGTACCTGGATAATGGATGTTCAAAACATATG